ACCTGGGGACACCAATAGCACCAGCATTCATGGTGAGTTGATCAATGAGAAATGCAGATTTAGGCTCCATGCTTGATGCCAAGGCATATTGGTTGCTAATTCCATCACCTGAAGGAACAAAATAGGCTCCATTTACCATTTCATCCCCTTCTGTCCTCCAGTTCCACTCTGTCCAATCCCTCTCGTCCACGTCCACGCGCTTCGTCACCTGTGAGTACAAACTCGATTTTCGATGACCTTATCGTTCAAATTTAAAGAATTTTTTCTCACGCCAAGGAGATTCAACATATAACTAGAAAAACTCATTTCCCCTCCCTCCATTTGCATAGTATAATTTTACAACAAAAGGATTTTTAATTGAACTTCAATCCCTTCAAAACTTTTCATCTGCCCAAGTCTTGATGAGCAAAATTATACGATACGATAGACTAGTCAAGGCACATTCAACTCAAGCTGGTTCAGACACGACGATTATATATGAGAATTACCTCTTTGGCATTTGGATCTGTTGGTGCAGTAAAACGATTGCCTTGGCTATTAATTGTGGGATTAGCACTTCCACCAATTGCATACATTTGCCATTCTGTAAAATCATTGTTTACTACATGTATATATCCTCTTCTACACCTTGGCATTCTTTGTACTAATCCTTCTCCAAAATGATTAAATGCTATTGTCACCTAATAAATTCACAAATCAACATGTTACTCGAACTCTTCAAAACTGTTGATAGGTGTGTATCGAATAAAAATCTTACCTGCATACCAACATCGGGTACGTATCGATCGTCGTGTCCCAAAAGCATAACTTTGTCATGGTGAGTGAAATAACTATTAGATATAGTTATAGCAGTTGATCCCATGATAGCATCAATTAAGCCATCAGTACAATGAGAGAAAGCACAATGATCAATCCAAATATTTCTTGAACTATAAATTGATATTCCATCACCATCAGACATTCCTCTCCATCCAACTTGTGTTGTACTTTGTCTTATGTTACTATTACCTGATGGAACACAATTGTATACATGTATATTATGTATAATCACATTTGTAACATATTGTAATGTTATACATCCACCACCCGTTACGTGGACGTTCGCGCCACGTCCGTCTATGGTCTTGTAATTGTTGATCATAAGCTCGTGTTTGAGCCTTATGATCATGTCTCCGGCAAAGGTGATCCAGAGGGGCTCCTCCTGGATCACCGCGTGCCGGAGGGTTCCAGGGGTAGGATTCACAGTGTCAAAGTCGGAGGGATCGCTAACCAAGTAGTACCGGCCACCTTTCCCTCCGACTGCACCGTGACCAAACCCAATGGCGCAATCCGCGAGCTGCTGGCGGTTGTTGACCCAATTCGGGTCGCACCTCCCGCCGTCCTCGATCGGATTGCCCGGCTCCTCCTGGATCACCGCGTGCCGGAGGGTTCCAGGGGTAGGATTCACAGTGTCAAAGTCGGAGGGATCGCTAACCAAGTAGTACCGGCCACCTTTCCCTCCGACTGCACCGTGACCAAACCCAATGGCGCAATCCGCGAGCTGCTGGCGGTTGTTGACCCAATTCGGGTCGCACCTCCAGCAGTCATCGATCGGATTGCCCGTTAGACATTGGTAATTTATTACTGTTGTATCAAATATTTGCCTTCTTGATATGGATTCATTGATCCTCCTGTACAAATATGGGGAAAAAATATAAGATATAGTAGTATGTACTCGATAGAACTCAGTAACTTAGGTTCAAATCTTTTATTTTGTGTTACTATCTATAAATAATCTATTCGGAAACTAGTAAGCAAAAAAGAATTATATTTCAGAACTCATAAACTAAAAATTTCGATTCCACCTCTATTAATCTATGCAGAAATGAGCAAAACCAAGATTGCTTTTTTTTTTTCCCCCTTAATGTAATGTGAATAAACAGAGATACCCAGTTGATAAAATGCAGAAATAATCAGAACCCAGTTGAAAATAATGCAAAAATGAGCAAAACCAAGATTAACTTTTTGATTTCTTTTTAACGGTTAAAAACACATCCAAAGTATTTCAGTTTTTCAAGTTTTTTATCTGAACTATCATGATAGTGTGTATCCTCTTTTTCTACCAAAAATATCACCATCTTTCAAGTAGAAAAAAGAGAATAATTGATAATTGAGATATGTTTTGATAAATAATCGTGATAGTTCAGGTAACAAAACTCGTACACATGAATGATCATTCAGATATGAAACTCGAAAAATCGAGATACCATGATAAAATGCAGAAATAAGCAAAATCCAATTGAGAAAGATCAAGCATGATAAAAAAAAAAGAAGAAGAGGTAATTTCACCTATTTACTTGTTGAACAATAGATTCAGGAAAAGGGTGTTGATGAGGAAGTGTAAGATTATTGAAAGTAGCTATAATTAGTGAAGAAAATGACAAGATTAAGAAGAATGAAAAAGAGAGAATGATAGTATTAGAAAGCATTGTTGAAAGATCAATAATTGATGAAATTGTATTCTTGAAATTTTGTACTACTAATGATTCTTCTTGTTGAATTCTCTCTTAGGAAACTTGGGAAAATTGTAATGTCTATTACGTACTATATAATAGATGTAATAAAGTTGACAAATTATTAATTTAAAAAAAAAAGAATTTGTTTTGTACTAGGGGTCTTGGATTTAATAGGGGTATATTTTTTGCTAGTATATTTGATGAATTAAAAAAAAGAAAGTATATTTGATGAAGAAGAAAGAAATTTTGGAATGGTGGCTGTGATGTTGATAATAGCCCCCCAAAAAAGTATTCCCATTGAAAAGGATTTTGTGGCTAGAAAAGGAAGTTTGAAAAGGAATAGAAGATAGAGACTCTGGATGGTTTGGTACGTGAGATAAAGAATAATAATTTCAGAATAAAATTTGAGCTTAATTTTATTTTATGTTTGGGTGAGGTATTAATTGATTTCCAAGATTATTTAATATGTTTGTAGTAAAATGGTGGGATTACTATTCATATATAAGGTGGGATCGATAAAATAATCATCTTGAATTATCTTAAAACATGAGATATTCTTATTTATTTCGTTTTGCATATTAAATGACTCTGTTTTTTTTTTTTGTTTTTAAATGTTTGTGTTAAAGATCACAAACATATTTTAAGTATTCTGATTTTTCGAGTTTCATACCTGAATTATCAAATGTGCAAGTTTTTTTTAAAACTATTTATTAAAACACACATTAATATCAGTTGTTCCTATCTGAAATATTACCATTGTTCAAATGCAGAAAAAGAACTATTGATAGTTGAGGACAAGGTGTGTTCTAATAAATACTTTAATGATAGGTTAGATAGAAAAACTCGCATATATCTGATAGTTTAGGTATAAAATGTGAAAAATCAAAATATTTTAGATATATATATTATTTTATTTTTTTGCTCTCCTTTGCAAATTGCAGCTTTCCTCAGTGTCTTACATTCCTTTTCTTGCATCTTAATTATTCTAGGAGTAATTAATTTCATAAAGAAAAGTTTAGATTTTTATCCAAGAAAGCGGCTAATGCAAAATGTACAAACATCTCCTTGCTTATTTTATTCCCTTTATCCATTAGTATACGAGAAAAACTAGAGTTTTGGAATAACGGTAAAGTTATATACAAGTCGTAAACTCAGCTACTGAATCAACTTATATTTACAATTGTATCAAGATAGACCGTCTATATCACACATGTTTGGGGTGCAATTGTTCCTTTAACCCTACGTGTGAACGTGAGACACTTTTTATGCATTTTGTATCCATCAAATTTCGCATCTCCTTATTTAGGACTAGTAAAGGAAGATACAGGTTTTTCTGTTCCAAGATTTGAATATGAGACTTCTGATCAAGAATAACGAAATTTTATCCATCTCACCACACGCCTCGATAATTCGACTTTTGTGGATGTATTAATTAGTTGTTAAAGGTTGAAAAGGTGCTTTTGGCTCTACTTTTGGAGTTGAGATTCTTTGCTGAAATAGAGAAAGATTATGGAGGTTAACATCTCTGAATCTGGACAAGAACCTTTTCACAAAAGGTCTAAAAGGGTGGGCAATTAGTTAAAATTATATTTCATGAAAAATTAAATCTATGTAATACATTGACTAATTTTTTACATTATTATATCATTTAAAAAATAATTGCATAGTTCAAGGTCTCGATAATCAACATAAGTTATGATGGGATGGTTTGAATCCCTCCAGTACTCTTAATCAGAGATATTGGGTTCGAGATCTGAGAATGACAAAAAATCATGTTGGAAGTGCTGGCCCAGAAATGGACCATATAATGTAAATTCAAATTAACCGAGTTTCAATACGAATACGAAACGAAAAAACAAAAGAAAAAAAGGTCTACAATTTTGAGATACCCCACTTTGTTCTCTTTTTGTGGAAGAAATTGGGGGGAAGGACTACAAGCCAGATACCCAATTGAAAGCTTAAAATATGCTTCGCATAACATCAGAATAATATATTTATTAGATGCCATAAAAAAAAAAATTAAATAACAAAATAATTGTAGCATCATTTCTTCACTACGTACAAAAGCATTGATAAATAATATATCTCCATATTCAAATGTGAAAATAATAAATTTCATTTTGAATAAGATTAAAAGGTGATAGGTTGCTCGTAAAATTAAAACGTATATTTGACTTTTTTGTGTATAACTTTAAGGAGCAACTTATGTATTTTCTCTTTAGAATGTACTACAAAGGAAACAACATAAAAAGTTGGCATAATGCACAAGCAAATATTTAAATTTGGTCTTAGCTGACAAGTAAGCAGAGAGTGCATATTTAGATGTACACTTTAACGTAATTTCAACTGAAAACTAAACACTTCAATTCTCCTCACTATGTCTCATGGATATATAATATTGATGTGAAATATAAATTTTAGAAATATCTAGATGATTATTTTTGTAAGTTGGAGTAACTATCACAGTGAAGACGACTTAAGATAGTATTATACCTAGCCAAAAAAATTATTTCTGAAAGATCCTCGATAAACTTAATTTATTACAAATTATTAGAAAGTTATATATATTCTATCTCATCATGTTACTTGTGCTTTTTTGGATGCCCCATGATCACTTTCTATATAAACAACTTTTTAGTAGTTTCTCAAGTCAAAAGAATGCAACAAAGATGAGTAGGGTAATATGGATCCTTGTCATCAAGTATAGTTTACAAGACAAACACACATGTAGCCTTGTTACTACATACCTAAATAGTAAAAAAGCAAACTTTTCCTATATTGTAAGCATTACAATTGATCTCATTATAAAATAAAATAAAAATCTTAATTAGCTATAGAATTCATCGTTGATCTATCGTTAAATAGTCCGTGTAGCTAATAAGATATTTCTATAATCCATCACTAGTAAATAATAGTAGCAAGAATTATGTATTGTTTAGTGATATAAATTGTTTGTCAATAATTTTTATATTTTGATAGTGTGAAATATAAATATTATTTATACGGTCGCGCGCTCTCTCTCTTGTGTGTTCGTACTTGGTAATATTGACCATTTCGCCAGCAAAACTGTCAACATTGTCAATAAACTCAATGTTCAAGAGGCGCATTTACGACTCTCAAGGGCTTGATTGACACGAGCAAAACAATTGAGGGAAGAAATATGTGTATCAAAAATCATATTTCTTTCATAATTAAAGGATATTTCAAGTAGACACACATTGTTTCATATTTGAATATTTCTTACATACACTCCACATTTCTGAATCAGATCCTATCAAATATTTCACATTTTCTAGTTCTTTTTTTTCCTTTGCTTTTCTTGTAAGAAAATCTATCTTTTTCTTCATATTTTTTTCTTTTTGAAGAAGATACATAGTATGTTAAATTTTTGCCATATGCATATGACTAGGAATATGTTATTTATGATAAGATATGAGTGGCAAATCTACGTGTAATTTTGTCCAATTAAACAAGTTATGCTTTAATTTTATGATGCATTACCTTGAGACCCATAAATATCAAAACATATGTTTAAAAAAAACGCCTAAAGTTGTCTTTTAAAAAGTGTCCAACTTGGACTTTGCTTTAATTTCTCTTTGAATCAAAGTATCAATTTTTATTCTCTAACAATACATATCTATCGTGGAATTAACAAAAAGAAAAAAAAGTGGACTTTCGATGATATATTTGTCGGATTACGTCAGTCTAAAGATTCTCATCCTTCAGAAGGTAGAAATAAAGCTGCATATTTATCATCCTCTTCAGATTGATCCACTTGTTATATAAACGATTTTTAAAAAAAATATAGGATACTATTGAAGATATTTATCATCCTCTTCAGATTAATTCCATATGTATGATTTTCTCAAAAAGGACTAACAAATTTAGAGTATACTTATTGTGTATTATATTATATGTATAAAAACTTATTTTCTTATCAATTTTCAATATGAAATTTTGTTTGCACATTTTATATATTTTTCCCCGCTACTTGTTTCTTAGCTTTGGTTGCAACATCGAATTACACTCCTTGTTATCTCCATACTCGTCCTTAAGAATCATCAACTCTCGTATGCTAATTTGTTGAGCTTACACCAACAAAACAACGCTCTTTAATATGATATGATATTGTTCACGTCTTTTAAGAAACAATATTTAAAAAATTATACTTACCCATATGCTACATTCAATACTTAAAATATAAATTCGAAATATAAAAACGAAGAAAAGGAAAAAGAAAAAAGAAAATTTGATAGCTGACAAAGCCCAAAACTACCATGGAAGGCCTTGATTTGGGCCAAACTATGCTTAAAGCAAAACAGCCCATGTAATTTTCTCCATCATGATTTATGAACCCAAGAAGAAAGTGAAAGAAATGTAGCATGAAATCAATCTAATATATATATATATATATATAAATATCAAGGTTTTCTGACGAAGTCGTGTCACGTGACACACCCCTTAAGCATTATTAGATCTGCCCTTGGATAAAGTCTGCGTACATTCTATCCTCCCAGACTCTGTTCGTAGGATTTCATTGGTATATTGTTGTTTTGTTGTATGGGTTTTTACTGGCAATTTGGCTTGTCATTCTCTTGAATTATGTCGAGGTTAAAGGCCTATAGCTGAAGTTGTAGATTCTATGAAGCCTACATGATTTGCTTGTAAGTTTTATCATGTCATATCATGAGTGAACACACAAGAAATCCTGCTTTGACGGTCAAAACTTATCCGTATTTGGTGTTTACATCATCAATCAATAGATGCATAAGTCATACTTCATTCACTATATCGCTTTTTTTGCTAAATCACTTAACGAGCTGGCCTAGGAATGAAGTTGCCTTTGACCGGGAGTATTTAACGCATGAAGTGGAATTTTTCGGTGCGAATTTGAATTATTAGGTCGCAAAGCAAGTACTGAATACTGGGCGAGAAATAAAAATAAAATTCTTTGTTTCAAGCTATTATTATCAAAAATTGTGATGGAGTGATAAGTATTTATTCATCTTTAACGAGGGCCTCGAGAATGCAGTCATCTTCGGTAGCATTTCTCATTACGAATCTCAATTAATCAGACTCCGAAACAGATATTAGACACCAAGTTGTAAATGAAAAATGATTATTTCAAGCTATCACCTTAGATTGTGGTAGAAATAATAAGTATTTCTCCATCTTTAATCATAGGTCTTGGGTTTAAGTCTTGAAGAATGAAGTCGTCTTTCGTAAGGAGCGATTTAACCCTCAAAGTGGAATTTCTCGATACAAATCTAGACTAACCGAGTCTCAAAGCAGGTACCGAACACCGAGTGAGAAACCAAAACAAAAACAAAATAAGAAAAGGAAAACAATATGTTTCAATATATTGATATGATTCCAAAACAATGAATAATATAAAAAGATTATGTTTTGTATTAAATCTTTAGTGTTGAAGAAGTGGCTTATAACATGAACTTAAATCCTTTGCTTGTCATAAGGCACTTCCTTACGTGCAATACACAAACTTCCCTTTAACTTATATCTCTTTATTCTTCTCACAAAATAATAATATTATTGATTTACTTACAAATTAAATTGCCACTTGAAAAATGCATGAACTATATATTATCAGTCTTTTAAGATTTTTATTCATCCTCCAAAAAGATACTTACTAGTCATATATCTCTTTTAAACGTCTCACTTAGTTAATACTCCATTAGATAGAACACTACCTATCCTAACCTTCCGATAGGTAAATCAACCCTTCGCCACCAACAAAAAAAATATTGAAAATAAATTTAGAAGAAATAAGCAAGAAATAAATGCTTCTTATTTTTATTTTTTTAAGAAAATGCTTCTCTACTTAGTTTGTAATGATTAATTATTTTTAGAAAATTCATACTGATTCAACTTAATTACTAGCTAGACTAGTTAAGATTGATTAGTGGAATTAATTAACTATTAGAAACTACTAGTACATGCATCCTTATTAATTAAAATATTAACTTTTTTTCCTCAATATGATCCATACAGATGTCCTCCATCCAAATAAACAATAACAAAATAATTAATACATGATCCATATTTAATTGATTAATCACATTACTACTAGCTGTAAGCTGATAATGAATATGTGACCATTTATATCTCGATATTAACTTCTCTTATCTTGTAATATAATTATTACTATATATATGTCAAATATAAAGTAATAATACTATAGTACTACTTAACTTTATATAAAGTTCATGTTCAGTCAAATACGATCAGATCATTCGATCAATGTGTATTGTATTACAACGTGTTCTCTCCACTTTTCTCTCATTGTCTACCACTCATTTTTAATTTCTTTCTCCAAAAGTATTGGAATTAGGAGGTTACTTTCAGTTAGTATCATTCTAATTCAGTAATTATATTAATGGTGTTTAATTTTCTCTCTTTTCTTTGACTTCTAAAAACCTACATTTCACTATTTTTGGTGTATATTATAAAGTGTGTGTATATATATACATATTCATAACCCTCTACTCTCCGTCCTCATCGCTTTCTCTATTTTCTTTCGTTCTCTCTTTTGTTTTTACATGCATTCGATCCCCCCGCCCTTTTAATCTTTCATTTTTTTTAGGGGGGAGGAATCGTTGTTGTTATTATTATTATTATTATTGTTGTTGTTGTTTTTGTCAATTTCATGTTTTTAATAAGTTCGCATTGAATAAAAGAGAGATGGAGGCTCCTCAAGAGGAAGTGATGGGTGGAGTCTCTAAGGGCAAACGCACTAAACGTGTTAGGCCTCAATCTCTAATCACTTTCATGACCATCAATAATGCACATTCATCATCAACCGGCGACGCAAACGTCGATGGCACGGTTAATGGAGAAGAAGTCAACGACGACGACGACAACAATAATAATGATTCTAGTCCACCTCCTACCACTTCGGACGAAAACATCCCTGATGATGATGTCCCCACGGAGGAAGAAGAAGAAACCGCCAAGTGTCTCATCCTCTTATCCCAAGGTGGTCATCATCATCATCATCGTCGTCATCAGACCCCACCTAAAAAGTTCTTTGATCTCTTCAATGATGACATGGGGTTGTACCAAACAAAATTCAATAGCAAGAGGTATGTGGAGACAACCGACCTAGGGAATGGTGCCAAAGCCGGTACATACGTGTACGAATGCAAGACATGTAACCGGACATTCTCATCATTTCAAGCACTAGGTGGACACAGAGCAAGTCATAAAAAACCTAAGCCATTAACAATCGAACCGAAAAAACATCCATTCTTCTACTTTTCAGACCAAGACGAATCCTCACCACCAACAACAACAACAACAAATTACAAATACAACAACAAATTATCACCAACATTATCTCCTCTTTCATCCCAATTCAACAATATCAATATGGAAAGTACTCCAAATTACAACAAATCACCATCTCCAAGAATCCATACATGTTCATATTGTGGTGCAGAATTTACCTCAGGACAAGCATTAGGTGGTCACATGAGAAGACATAGAGGGGGTGCTAATACTAACAATACAATTTTGTGTTTAAGCCCTTTAAGTATTGATCAAGAATATGCTAATTATAATTTGAAGAAACCAAGAAATGGATTATCATTAGATCTTAATCTTCCAGCACCACAAGATTATCAAAATCAATCAAGAAATCTTCAACATCCACCAAAATATCCTCAAGAACAAGCACAAAAGCAACAACAAGAACAAGAACAAGAACAACAACAAACAACACTTGTTTTATCCACCACCCCACAACTTATTGATTGTCATTATTGACACATATTCAGAGACGGATCCAGAATTTTGAGTTTACAGGTTGCGTATACAATGGTTCATTTATTTTTTCCTTTTCTCTATGAACCCCAAAAATTAAATTGATTTATACTCAAACAGTCGCGATTTTACATGGATATTGTCTAAAGGTAAATGAGAGTCACCACCATTCTTTCATCTCTTATTGTTAAAAAATCTTTAAATATATTCCTCATGAATTTCATACATTGCTAATTAAAGTTGTAAGTATTAAAGTTTAATGTAGTTATAGTGTATGATATTAGTGATAACTAGCTAGCTTTATTGATGTTTCATATTAAAGTACAAATAATTGAAAAAAAAAGTAGCATGGATTTAAGTTATATATACTGAGAATGTAAAGATTGTGTACTATCAGAATAGTTTGACTAGTGCCTTTTACACGGTATGCAATCATGACATAGTCAGTCACAACTCATGCAGTCGACCCCAACTTGTTTAGAATCGAGACTATATACTTGTTCTTGTGGCTGCAACTCTTTTAACCTATTTTTTTCATCTTTATTTGTCACTCTTTTAGTAGCAATAAGCAAAAGAATAAAGGCAACCAAATTTAACAATGTTTAATCCTCAAGATCTTAATTTTAAATGTAAATGTTACTTAAGATACAATAGTCGTAGAAATTAACATCAAGAATCTTCATGTAATCAACAGTAACTCATTTCACCATCCTTCTTGTGGAGCTGGAGCTGGACTTGGAACAGGTGAAAAAGAACTTTCAAACATCCCTATAAGAACAAGAGAAGAAATTAACTTAAATAGTCGTCCATCCAGACAAAAACATAGCCAACAAATGTATAATATACGTATAATTAGCGTATAATTTATGTATATTATCTAACAAATGTAAATATTTTTGGCCAAGCAGCCTAATGTGTAACTTCATATGACTAAGTATAAGGATTTGATGGCACTAACCACATAAAAGAAGATTTTGAGGTGGTTTTCTCTCCTTAGCAGGATTAGGATTATCATCGAAAACTCGTATGAATAGTTGTTGTCCTAAGTACCAATTCTTCAAGTGTTGTGATCTCAAGTTCCACATTCCAGGATTGTCAAGAAAAACATACACTACTGTCCATCTTCCAGGGTAAACTTGAACAGTTGAACGAACAACAGGATCGAAGATGTTGTATGTTTCACGTGCTACTGGTGTCCAATCTCCATTCCCAAATCTGAAAAAAGAAATGTTATGAAGCTCAAGTACATCGATCACTCATATGTCCATTTCGTTCTGTCTAGCAAAGACGGGGTATTGTATGTAGCTCGTGTGCCTTCAGTGTTAAACATGCCTTAATTTGGATATAATGTATGTGAAGAATGGAAGAGTGAAGTGTAGTCAGTTGAACATCCTTCGTTGGAAAATTAAATGTATATAGCTCAAAATTACATTTTTTATACATATATATTAAACGATGAACACCCTTAATGAAATTCCTGGTTTAGTTACTGGAAGATAAGTCTTACCCCACAACATAGAACCCGAAACCATCCAAATGCCAAGAATCCATAACATTGAGATCGTTTTTGAAGACGATTTCTAGCCACCCTTTGTGGATTCCAGAGACAACAGAGACTCCATAAGAAGCAGAATCATGTACAGAGTGAGTAGGAAATTGATCTAGTTGGTAGACACCAGATCCATTCACGAACATGTCAGCGAGTTTCAATGGTGTATCGGGTGTGAAATAGGACACGTTGTTAACTACATATCGCGGCCAACCATTAATTTCACCCTTCGATCCATGAAGAATAAATGTTTGAGCCAACGTCACGTTTGACACATTAAATGTTCCTTGTGGATTAGGCCTTGCAGCTCCTGTTGTCATGTTCCACCTAATAAAACACATTAACAACAACAACTACGTCTCAATTTCATACTACTTGGGGTCGACTATAACATTAAAAGTAATGCTTACGTGATAGACTTGGCTTGATTCACTGAAAACGCGATATCAAATGGATCGGGGCCATCAGGAACAGGACCACTAACTGTTGTTAAAGAATTGGCATAGTGCAGTATCCCTATTCCTTCAAGAGTTTCATCACTTTTGAACATTTTGGGAGTTGCCACAATGTAATAATCAGCTTCATTTTGATCAGCAATAACGAGAACAGAATACGATTGGCCAACGTGCACGTCTAGAGAGTCAAGTGTTATCTGATTTGTATAAGAACCTTCTGTCTCAACCAAAACCATTTTGTGGTTTTGAATTCTGAAGTTAAAACTCATGACAGTTCCAACGTTCGATATCCTGAATCTGTAAGTCATTCCTATATATGAAAAATATGATAGTAAATGATCATATAAAGTGAAGAAGAATCAAATTCAAGAAGAAAAACTGTTCTGTTTTACCTTTTGTTACAGTAAAAGACTTGTGCCTTTTCGAAATTGAGAGTTCATCGTAAGGTCTTTTACCATTCATCAAGATTGCATCAGGGATATCAAAGAACTGATTCGATTGCTTGTCTTGTATAGAGGATCTAAGAGACTGCTTATTACAAGGTGCATGAGCAAAAAAAAACGTTAAAAGATATAACTAAGTCAATAAAAGTATATGCGTTTAGATGAAATGGTAATATAATTCAACATGGTATCAGAGCAGATGGTCACATGAGGGGTCGTGTTTCTTTCTCTAACAACTTGATCTTTTAGATGAGATAGTCGTGTGATTCAACATACAAACTATAGTGTTGATCACCTTGTAATCAGTACAGAACCAGTCACCAGTCAGAAGATCAAACTCTGCTTCTGGTTTAGGAAATGAGACAGCTAGGACGTAAACGTGTATCATTTCTAACAATTTAAGCGTTTAAATGAGATTGGTCATATAATACTACATGGTATTAGAGCAGATGGTCACGCGAGAGGACGTGTCTATGATGTAATAAAGTAAATAACATTCAGTATCTGTAACAGCTTAAACTTTTTGATGAGATGGTCACGCAATTCAATATAGAGATTTAAAGTCTTGATCACCTTGTAATCAGTACGGAACCAGTCGCCAATCAGAAGATCAAACTCGGCTTCTGGTTTAGGAAACGGGACAGCTATAACATTGCGATTATTGACACGTATCGGTCCATATCCTCCAGCAACCTTGTGAAAGTTTATTGAAGGAAAGTAAGTGAATGTGCCTATTTGATCTTTAACCTGAAACACATAAGTCCAATTTTTTCCAGGTTCAATTGCACAATTTGTGCCAGAAACTCCATCTTGCCATGAATTTAACCTCTGTTGAATTCCATTCCTTTAGCAAAAGAAAAAAAAATCACAATATACGGTCAGACCTCTCTATAACAGTCATCATGTATAACAACAATATTCCGCAAGAAAAGGCCATGTTTTCATGTTACATTATATTAATATGTTCTCTATAACAACATTTCATTATAGAGCTAATCCAAACAAATGGCATCCTTATTGAGAAGATTGATTGTACCATGCATATACGGTTAGATCTCTCTAAAACAGTCATCCTGTTATTTCATTATAACAATGCAAAATTCTCTTTAGAATCGATTTTTTTTCATGTTATGTTATATTATATGTTCTCTATAACAACATTTCGCTATAGCAGTCAAAAGTCATCCAAACAAATAACGTCATTATTGAGAAGATTGATTGTACCATGCATATACGGTTAGATCTCTCTAAAACAGTCATCCTGTTATTTCATTATAACAATGCAAAATTCTCTTTAGAATCGATTTTTTTTCATGTTATGTTATATTATATGTTCTCTATAACAACATTTCGCTATAGCAGTCAAAAGTCATCCAAACAAATAACGTCATTATTGAGAAGATTGATTGTACCATGTTATAAGCAAGGATTCATCCATGTTGTTGAAGACATTCACAATCACAACATCATTAGTTGTGGCATTGATCAATGGTCCAGGAAACATCCCATTGATAGTGATAACCTGTTCACATAACATAAGTTCTTACTCAAATTTGTTCAATCAATCGACTAAAGGAACGATAAATAAACACATGATCACTACACCCTATGTCCAAATTTATACGACACTGTTTGACTAAGCCAGGAGGAAGACTTCTGAAACTTGTTGTCTAAATTAAACGAGCTCTTTAGGCCGACATACTAAAAATGAAAACATGCCACGAATATCGAGAAAATGGGATCAAGAAAACACTTACAGACTGATGAGATGTTAGAGGATTAATAGTTGTGTCAATGGAAACAATCCATTCATGATAAATGTCTATGCAATTTACTCCATTAAGAAGAACAACAAATGATATAGCAAAGACAAACAACCCCTTAAGAAATGCCATCATATTAAAGAAAAAAAATTAGTTTTCTTTTTTTATGAAGGTGATTAAAAAAAAGAGCCAATATTACAATGTTTATAACAAATGAGAATGAAAATGATGGAGTTTACTAAGAAAATTGAGATGAAAATTAGGCCAATTAGACAAAAGAATTAAGACAAATAAATTGATTATGGAATAATGGAATGCCGGCAAAAAAAAAAAACTTAATAAGTTGTGCATTTGCCATATTGCATAAAATCTGAGAAGCAAGAAAAGCATATTAGGTAATTTCTCAAACGATCAGTCAACTAACACTTTTTATCTGTCAATTAATTTTATATTGTAACAGAAAAATTACTCAATTAATAATATTTATATCAAAAGATTCATTCAAATTTATTTTGTAACAAAAAAGTCCTTTAACATAATTATATAAAAAAAATCACTCAACATTGTTATGTAACAGAAAACTCACTTAACTATTGGTAATTATATCACAAAGTTACCTAATTTTGATTAGTAACAAAAAAAATCAATCAACCATCAGAATTATTTTTTTAAAATAGAAAAGTAAATATAACATGAATAAAATTAAATCCTTATAATGAATAATTGTTATAATAAGATTTGATTATATTAACGAACTCAATATTTTATTGGGCCGTTAGGGTCGCGGTGATGT